AAATATACAGAGCTTCCGGTAACAGGCAATATATCTTCTGAACCACCTCTTACTACAATTAATGAAACATCAATAAGAACAGAAACGAATACTATTCAACAACTGACTCCGTGGTTGAATGCTGTTGAAATGGCGGTATCAAACAACTTCAAATCTGGCAATATTTCTTTTAGTGGGTATCATGCAGAAACCAATGGTCTGCCTTCTACAGCTGTGTGCAATAATACACTATTACCTCTGTTGCCGGATCACATTCAATCACCTGCCACTGTTCGACATTTAATCAATATTATATCATCTATTATTGATAATGTGAATTATGGTCAACCAGTTGTTATTACTGCAGATCAACCAGTATTTGCGATTGCTAAGCAACTTCAGTGGAAATACCCTGATCTTTATGGTGAGGATAAAATGATTATAATGATGGGGGGACTTCACATTGAGATGGCTATTGAAAATATGATTGGAAAGTGGTTATCTGGAAGCGGTTGGACCGAATTATTTTTCAAGACTGAAATCGCAAGTTCTGGACGTAGTGAAACGTTGCTTAAGTCTTCACATGTTAAAAGAACTAGATACGCTCATGAAGTTAGTATTGCAGCACTTTACATTCTAAGAAACAACGCATATAGAGATAACCAAAAAACGGCAGTGGAGTCTCTGGAAACATGGGTGGCTCGAAGATGCAAAGAATCTGCTCAGTTTTTATTTTGGCAGACGACCATAATTTTGGAGGGCATATTACTTAACTTTGTTCGTAGCATACGTACTTCTGATTTCTGTTTATTTGTCCAAATGCTCGAAGAGCTTTGTCCTTGGTTGTTTGCTTTAGATCTTATTCATTATTCACGATGGCTTCCTGTTTTCATAAAAGGGCTCAAAGAACTACCAGTGCGACACCCGCAAGTTTATGAAGCATTCCAGAAAGGTCATTTCACAAGTAGAAAAACTAATGCTGATTTCTCCGCAATTTCCGATGATCAATTGCATGAACAAAATAACAAACTAATAAAAGGATGTAGTGGAGCTATCAACAATTTGCATAATAATGATGTCTTCTAAAT